GGTTGCTGTGAGCTGTAATGCCACGGCACTCTACCCAGGGGGACAGCTTGAGGCTCTGTCTCAAAAAAATAAATAAATAAATAAATAAAAATAAACCCGCCAGCTCCAGTGTATGTGGCTGGAACCCTAGCCACTGAGCTACAAGTGCTGAGCCTTTATACATGTTTTTGACAGTTCTCTTAGGTATATACTCAGGAATAGATGCTAGGTTATAGGGTAACACTGTGCTTAAATCTTTTTTTTTTTTGAGACAGAGTCTCATTATGTCACCCTCAGTAGAGTGCTATAGCATCACAGCTCACAGCAACCTCAGACTCTTGGGTTCAAGCGAGTCTCCTGCCTCAACCTCCCAAGTAGCTGGGACCACAGGCGCCTGCCCAGCCATTTTTTGGTTGCAGCCATCATTGTTGTTTGGCGGGCCCGGGCTGGGGATTCAAACCAGCCACCTTAGGTGTATGTGGCCGGCGCCTTAGCTGCTTGAGCCACAGGCGCCGAGCCTAGCTTCTCTGTTTTAAAGTTTCATAAAGGAGGCCTCCAGTTCTTGCTGAAGACAAAACAAGGTTAAATTATCACTTGAGGGCAGCACCTGTGGCTCAGTAAGTAGGGTGCCGTCCCCATATACAGAGGGTGGTGGGTTCAAACTCGGCCCCGGTGAAACAGCAACAACAACAACAACAAATAGCTGGGTGTTGTGGCGAGCGCCTATAGCCCCAGCTACTCAGGAGGCTGAGGCAAGAGAATTGCCTAAGCCCAAGAACTGGATGTTGCTGTGAGCTGTGATGCCACAGCACTCTACCAAAGGTGACAAAATGAGACTCTGTCTCTTAAGAAAAAAAAAAATTATCACTTGAGAGAAAATTAATTTTAATCATCAAGCCAGCCAGCTACTCTGACATGTTAAAAAATATCTACTTCTTCCTATTAAAATGTCTCTGCTTCCAAACAGGCAAAGCACTTCTATGACATCCATCCCCACCCCAAAAGAACATGCAATCAAGTTAAATTTAGAGACCTCATGCTCTAGCTAGACCCAAGTGCAAACAGATAAACCCCATACTGACCAACCACGTGTCCAGTGAAGAAGTCCTGCCATTTTATGGTGTACTCGCTTTCATCTTTACCATCCACCACCACAACTTTGAAATTTTGTGAAAAACGTTCAGTACTTGAGGTCAGGTATAATTTAAAATGCCTGAAGAAAGAATGCATTCATATTTTACTCTAAGCACATGAAATAAAGGCCTGATTTTCATTTAGTTCAACTTTCTTTAAAAGTCAGAAAAGGTGACATTAATAAAATACTTTGCAAGTTATAACTAATGTTTTACTTAAGAGCAATATATCTCCTGTAAAGACAAATGGACTAATTTGTCTAGCTGTAAAACTTGGCAGACCAGAATAAACTCTTACTGGAGGAAAAAAGATTCAAAGAACTTATACATTCTTCTTTTTTTTTCTTTTTGTTTTTTTTTGAGACAGAGCCTCAAGCTGTCACCCTGGATAGAGTGTCATGGCATCACGGCTCACAGCAACCTCCAACTCCTGGGCTCAAGTGATTCTCCTGCCTCCGCCTCCCAAGTAGCTGGGACTATAGCACCCACCACAATGCCGGGCTATTTTTTGGTTGCAGCAGTCATTGTTGTTTGGCAGACGTGGGCTGGATTCAAACCTGCCAGCTCAGGTGTACGCGGCTGGTGCCTTAGCCGCTTGAGCCACAGGCACCGAGCCACGAAAACATTTTCTAATTGGCTTAATGCTTTGGTTTTTCCTGTCATAATAAAATGGATAAAGTAGCAGGTAGTAGAGGATAGATTTATACTAACAAATCAGCATTGCATAACTAGCAGCAACAGCAGCATCGCCTGGAAACTTGTTAGAAACAGAAATTCCCAGTGCCCTCCCTGACTCTACTGCATTAGACACTGGTGACAGACTGCTGGTCTGTGTTCTAACATCAGGAGACCTGGTGCATGCTGAACTTTGAGGGCATAATGCTCTGTTTTTAATTGTTTTCCTATGTGTCTGATACTCTGATTTTAGTCTTTTAGGAATAAGTATTCAGGCTGGTATAGTGGCTCACGCCTGTAATTGCTTGAGGTCAAGAGTTTAGGACCAGCCTTTGCAAAAATGAGATCTATCTCAACTGAAAATAGAAAAAAATAGTTGGGTGTGGTGGTGTGTGTCTGTAGTCCCAGCTACTCAGGAGGCTAAGGCAAGAAGATCCCTTGAACCCAAGAATTTGAGTTTGCAGTGAGCTGGGTAAGAGTGAGACTCTGTCTCAAATAAAACAAAAAAGTGCAGATGTTCAACAAATATTTACTCAGTATTATTTAAGACATATCAGGGCTCGGCGCCTGTGGCTCAAGTGGCTAAGGCGCCAGCCATGTACACGTAAGGTGGTGGGTTCGAATCCAGCCCGGGCCCACCTAACAACAATGACGGCTGCAACCAAAAAATAGCCGGGTGCTGTGGCGAGTGCCTGTGGTCCCAGCTACTTGGGAGGCTGAGGCAGGAGACTCACTTAAGCCCAGGAGTTGGAGGTTCCTGTGAGCTGTGATGCCACGGCACTCTACCCAGGGGGACAGCTTGAGGCTCTGTCTCAAAAAAAAAAAAAGACATATCAAGGCAATATCATATACCAAATTGTAATAAGGATCTGTAGTATAAACCCTCACTGAGCTTGCTGGATGTCTTCCGTAGCTTGCTTTCAGTAGTAGTTTGTGAAATGACTTTCTATTGAGGTTATAAATACCTTTTGCCCATAAGGGTTTCAGGAGATCTGAGGCAAAGTGCCTAGTGTCTTCTTAGGCACTTAACACACGATTGCTTTGTTTGTAACAGGCCACATTTAGGATCTGTGTTATTGCTCTAGTCAGAATTCTACTGCTGGTTCTTCTGCCGAAAGGCTAGTCCAGAGCTCTGGGTTTAGTCCATTGCCTTCATGCACTAGTTTTTCTCTCAAAGCAGTTGACTTTTCATTGCTTGTGCTGTTCATTTTCGAGAATGAATCACTGATTCCATCCTCTCTTCCCCAACTTTAACATTCTGTGGAGGGCATTTCTTTGTTCTTAAGAATCAGTGATTTGGCCCGGCTCCTATGCTCAAGCAGGTAGAGCACCAGCCACATACACTGGAGGTGGTGGGTTCGAATCCAGCCTGGATCCACCAAGCAACAATGACAGCTACAGCCAAGAAATAGCTGGATGTTGTGACAGGTCCCTGTAGTCCCAGCTACTTGGGAGGCTGAGGCAAGAGAATCACTTGAACCGAAGAGTTGGAGGTTGCCGTGAGCTGTAACACCATGGCACTCTACTCAGAGCGACAGCTTGAGACTCTGTCTCAAAGAAAAAAAAGAATCAGTGATTTATTTAAGAAATATTTATGGTTTATCTTCACTGTGATAGTGATTGAACATAAGTTGATTTTTGCTCTCATGGAGTTCAGCAGTCTAGTGGAGGGGAAGCAAGATAAAGTAGATGATGAAATAGAGATAAATTGCAAAACGTGATGAAGAAGAGAAAGAGTGTGTAGTAATAGCTCATAGTGGAAGAGCAAGGCCACACCGATGAGCAGCATCCTCAGAGACGTCTCCTACAAGACCTTTGAGACAGAACTTAAATGATGAGAAAAAGCCTACTGGTCCCTTAAAGGAGTGGAAGCTGAGCATTCTGGGTAGAAACCTTGGCGTGTAGTGGTCTATGGAGGCTGGGGTAGCCAAAGCAGAGTGGACTCTGGGGAGGTGTGTGTCCATCACCTCCCCAGATCCCACTGTGCTTCGGTTACCTCTGCCTCCATACAGGGAGTTTGTAATTCTAAGTAATGACACATATATGTTTATTATTTTTTTATGTATATGCTATGTTTCACAATAAAAAGATAAAAGGAAAAACATGCACAGTTTTAAACAGTGGCTGTGAGATGTGGAAGTAAAGACTGTGTACAGACAGGTGGGAGCTGGGGTGGCCAGAGGCTCCCTGAATGCCCACTGCTGGTTGGATACAGGCCATTGTCCTGGTTCTGTGGGTCACTTCTTGCTGTTTGCAAGGTGCTCACTTTTATGAGGAACAGCATACTGTGTACCTGTGGAACTGGGGACCTGAGACTCAGGGTACTAATTGGTGTTTCCTTCCAGGTAACAGCAGTGAGTGTCCCCCTCCAGGAAATGCTGACGATGACACAGTTTGCTTGGATCTGGGGAAGTGTAAGGATGGGAAGTGCATCCCATTCTGTGAGAGGGAGCAGCAGCTGGAGTCCTGTGCGTGTAATGGTGAGCGCAGTGTGCTGCAGTGGGAGAGGACAGGGGCCCAGCAGGGTTTGCTGTTTATTGAGGGTCAGGGCCATGTTGAGAACTAAGCCGAGGACGAGCAGGGGGTGGGGGGATGGGGGGGATGCAGGCAGAGTGGAGACCCACATCTCTGCATTCACATCCTGGTTCCTCCACCCTACATGTGAAAATTGTCCCCTTGGGATTTCTTTCTACATCTTTAGGCCACATAGCAGCCTTTGAGGTGGGAGAGAAGGGCATTTTGTTATGGGTGAGTGGGTGAGTGGGGGAGGTCTTTCCTTATCCTCCTCTCCTTCAAGATTATAGAAACCATGAAAATTGCAGTGGTAGGGCTGGGTAGAGTGGCTCACGCCTGTAATCCTAGCACTCTGGGAGGCCAAGGCAGGTGGATTGCCTAAGCACACAGGTTCGAGACTAGACTGAGCCAGAGCAAGACCTCATCTCTCAAAATAGCTGGGTGTTGTGGTGGGCAGCTGTAGTCCCAGGTACTTGGGAAGCTGAGATGAGAATTGCTTGAGCCCAAAAGTTTGAGGTTGCTGTGAGCTATGATGTCACAAGCACACTACTGAGAGCCACAAAGTGAGACTGTCTCCAAAAACAAAAGAGAACTGCAGTGGTATCTACATTCTACTGGCATTGAACTAGGGTACTCCTTCAAAGAGCTTAGGTAGAAAGAGCCAATTCCAGGATCTGGCAATTTTTTGCCATCATCAACGAGACTAAGCCCACTCCCCTCTGATCTCCACCAGAGCAACTAGGGGCAGGAGCCTCTCTCATGGTGGCCTTTCCTTAGGTTTCTTCACTCTAGTTTTTGGAACCTCTGGGTATGAGAGGGCCTTGGGGAATGGCTGGAGTCTAAGCTTTCTACCCAACTCCAACAGAGAGCATCTGAGTTGATTAGATTCTTCTGTGTTTGTCAAAATAGGCAAAGGACCCTATAGTTAAAATCACACAGTTGGGAGTTTACTGTCCATACAGTGGAGTAAGTGGCTCTTATGGGTGGAATATGATATAAATAAAGAAGAGGGCACATAGGGAATGACAAGTAATCTGTTGAATGAATGGCAAGAGGCTCAGGGTGCCTTGGAAGGACAGTGAATGCTCAGGAGATACTTGGTAAATGAGTAAACAACTAAAAGGTTTTCATTTCTGTAGTCCCCAACACCCAGGCCACAGACAAGTACTGTCTCCAGCCTGTTAGGAACTGGGTGACATGGCTCGGCGCCTATAGCTCAACTGGCTAAGGCGCCAGCCACGTACACCTAAGGTGGCGGGTTCGAATCCCCAGCCCGGACCCGC